TTTTTGGCAAATGAATCTTCCTCCTCCAAATTATGATCTCTTGACATTGTTCATGCTTATATCCATGTACTGTGCCCTTTTAGGGGGTTAACCATCATGGCTCTCCACAACTTCCTTTCCTTCGTAGCTCTTAGTAAGTTTTGATGTGTGTTTTTTTATTCATTAGTTATGGATGAAGTACCTTCTAGAGCACATATACTAACTTGCCCCTCTTCTCCTTTTTTTCAGGAGGAGAGGTACAAATGGATTTACCGACTGACTACCTACAACCATGTTTTTTTATGTCTTCGTATTTCGCACTGTAGTAATCTTCCTATTTGCTTTGATTTTCTTCCTCATCTACAATCATTCTGCTCGCTAAAGTTTTCTTCCAGGAGTTTTTTTCTTTCTGTTTTCATACTCTTTCATACTTTTACTGCTATTAGTGTCATTACTAGTAATTCTGTTATTGTGAACTCAAATACAGTTTGAACATCATTCTGCCTCTCTTCTTAATTTAAAGCTCAGATTGGGTGAGAATAAATAGACAGAATTAAATGACGTATTGTCTTTGCTGTTTGCGCTAATGGATTTTGCTGGAGTTGACGAACAGCAAAAGCTATCGTTGATTGGTTGCTCATATGAACAGATGACGAAAGTTTCTAAGAAAAACTATTTGTGTTTTCGAGGTTTGGAAATTCTAAAGAGAGTTGACCAATCTTTCTACAGATCCAATTTCTAGATCCCCATGTTTTAAACTTTTGGAACAGAATGGAAGATTATGCAGTTTATCATGACAGTAATTCATCATCCCTCACGCACGTCTCACCAGTAGAGTTTCTCGAAATTGTAGGAAATAAATTTACTAGATTGTCTTTGACGACACCTTATTATTATATCGTTATACTTTTTTCACCAAAATGTATGCTGTCATAAATATATAAATATTCCAGGTCACTTTTGATTAGAACCAAGCAATATTCCTCTCGTGTAATGATATACTTCGTATGAGAACTTCATGACAATCAACTAGAATTTCAGTGATTTCATCATGAATTTTCCATAATTTCTTTCATTTCTGCTTTTCTATCAATGATGAAGACGGACACACTTTACTTTTGTTAACTTTAGTCCCGAGTCTCCCCAATACTCCCCAGCGTGGATGTACTTCTAGCCTGTAGAGGGTGCAAAGAAGTCCCTCAAACAAATAATAAAAAGAAAATACACTACAAATAAAGTAAAATAAACTTTTGTTTATTTTTGTAAAGAATTATTTTTTTCCTTGTACAAAAATGAAATTGTCCGTAAAGCTGCGGAAGAAAAAGAGAAAGAAAGGAACTGGGAATGTGAGAGGGAAAGGTAGGACTATGTGTAGCGAGCGAGATGAGAGAAAGAGAGGGTGAAAGAATGTTCACTGATACGTGATACTGCCTGTTGTGTGAACCGCTGAATCCTCTCGGTGTGTGTGTGCTCGAAACTGTCCGTGTCGCTTTGATGTCAGCTTGTCGCTGTTCTCTCTCCCTTCTGATGAGAGTTTCTACCTTCCTTATATAAGAATGATGAGGCTCCGGGGAGATTAAGAAATGGGTTTCTTATGTCGAGTCCTGATTGGTCAATAAATCCTATTTTTGACCACGTGGTGTGCTTTTCACTACGTCCGAACTTTTGGGTGCGCCGTCCTTGTTTTTGACCCCACAGGGCATGGTAAGGAATGAATTCCCGCGCAATTGTATTTTTTGATACACGTGGTGTGAATTAATTTTCATTGTGTGTGTGGAAAATAAAATAAGAAACAGCACAATACTCCCCCCCCCCAGATTGGAAAATATATGAAAGATACATATTTTTTTCAATATGTGATATATGTTTCGGCCAGTGGACTTTTCTGCCAGTTTTCGTTGTAGGTGTGATGTCAGTATTTTGTTTTTTAGCTTCCTCATTTTCTGTGTGAATATGTGTTTGTGGAGGTATTGTATGAGGTTGTTCGTCGATGTACGCTGGTTTGATGCGATCAATAGCGATATTATCTTTCTTTTCTTTTCTCATAACAGTAAAAATATTTTTCATGCCTGTCCAGAACTTGATATGGTCCTGAATATTTTGGACAGAGTGGTTTTTTAACTGCGTCATTTCTGATAAATATATATTTGCAGGTGTGAAGATCGTTTGGGATGTAAGTTTGTTTCTCTGTTTTCCTGGTTGGTGCAAAGTTGAGAAGAGACATTCTATGTTTTAATTCTGTTACAAACGTTGTTGTAGGTGAAATGTCTGTCTTGTGATTAAAATACTGTCCAGGTAATGTTAATGCTGATCCGAAAACTACCTCTGCAGGTGTGCTTTGCAAATCTTCTTTCACCGTGTTTCTTATCGCTAAAAAAGAATTAGCGGTAAATTGTCTGTCCAGTCCGCATTATTTAAATTCATAGCTAGAGAAGCTTTTAACTGTCTGTGGAATCTTTCAACCATCCCATTTGCACAAGGGTGATAGGCGGTTGTTTTGATGTGATTCGTTCCTAACAATTGGGTAAATTCAGCAAGAAGTGTTGACTGGAATTGTGAACCTCTATCTGTTGTTACTACTGAAGGTACTCCAAAAATTGCTATCCAGTCCTGCAGTATAACTCTGACTATTGTTGCAGCTGAAGTGTCTTTGACTGCTATGGCTGTAGGCCATCTGCTAAATCTGTCAACTATAGTAAGAATATGTGTATGTCCTTTTGAGGTGGGTAAAGGTCCTACTAAGTCGACATGAATGTTGGTGAATCTAGCATCAGGTATGCTAAAAGTGCCAAGTGGTGATTTCGTGTATCTGTGGATTTTGTTCTTTTGGCAAGGTATACAAGTTTTAGTCCAATTGCGAATGTCCGTGTTCATATTGGGCCAAACAAAGCGTTCTGCTATTAATTTTACAGTGGCTCTTTTTCCTGGATGAGATAAATTGTGAAAATGTTGAAAAACTAGTCGTCTGATGTTCGGTGGTATATATGGACGCGGATGTGTTTGTGATACATCACAATAAAATTTTGTTGTACCAAATGGTATCGGCATTTCTTTCAGTTGTAAGGATATTTTTTGTTGTACAACTGGAAGTGTTTCATCTGTTTTCTGCTCTTGTGCGATCAATTCCATACTTAAAGAACTGGAATTTAAAGAGGCTATTGTAGATCGAGATAATGCGTCTGCTATAATGTTCTCTTGTCCCTTAATATATCGGATGTCTGTGGAGAACTGGGCGATATAATCGAGATGTCTGATTTCTCGTGGACCATATTTATCTACATGTGTATGTAGTGCATATGTTAATGGTTTGTGATCTGTATAAATGCAAAAATTTCTTCCTTCCAGCAAATGTTTAAAATGTTTAATTGCAAGGTAAATTGCTAGAAGCTCCCCCTTGAAAAGGTGCTGTATTTCGTCTGTGTCTTGCTTAGCTTAGCAGAAAAAAATGATATAGGCGTCATTGTGTTGTTAGCAATTTGGTGTATGACTGCTCCTACAGCTATTTCAGATGCATCTGTTGTAAGCGTGAGTTTTGTGTCCTCACTGTCCGTTACGTAGTTTAGTTTTGTAAAGTTGGCCAAAGCAGTTTTAGCTTGTTTGAAGGCTTCTAGGCTAGGCCCTTCTAACTTTAACTGTTGGTTCTTTGTTTTGTTTTGTAACAAATCTGTTAACGGTGCAAGTAATGTAGAATAGTTAGGTAAAAATCGTCTGTAATTGTTAATCACGCCTATGAATCTGCGTACTTGTCTGACTGATGTTGGTTGTGGGAAATTTGAAATTGCACTTACTTTCTCGGGTAGTGGAGATATTCCGTCCTTGTCAATTAAGTGTCCGAGGAAATTAACCTTTGGTTGGCTGAAAATGCATTTCTCTGTATTTATTTTCAGACCGTAATGTGATATTCTTTCAAATGTTTGCTCTAAGTGCTGTCTGTGCTCGTCGAGGTTTCTGCTGGCGATTAAAACGTCATCCACATATGCAAATATAAATGGCAGACCTCTAAAAACTTCGTCTATTAACCTCTGGAAGGTTTGACAGGCGTTCCTAAGCCCGAAAGGCATCCTTACGAACTCGTAAAGGCCAAATGGTGTTGCCAGTGAAGTTTTATGAATGTCCTCTTCTACCACTGGAACTTGGTAGTACGCCTTTACAAGATCCAATTTGGAAAATATGGTGGCGCCTTGTAGACCGATGGCGAAATCGTGGATATGTGGAATAGAGTGTCTATCCGGGACCGTTTTAGCATTTAATCTTCTAAAATCGCCACAAGGACGCCATGTTGTAGCGTCGGACTTTTTGCACCATGTGTAGCGGTGAAGACCAAGCACTTTTCGAGGGTCGGATGATCCCTTGCTGTAATAAATGTTGAAACTCGTTTTCGCAATCTTATACTTGTCCGGTTTCAATCGTCTGGGGGTGGCATAGACAGGTTGTCCAGTTGTCTTGATGTGGTGCTTGGCATTATGTTTTATGGTGTCTGTGTTTTTAAATGGCTGGGAGAGTTGTGGATATTTTTTAGTAGCTGACGGATGTACTGGTCCTCGGTAAGGCAGAACTGATTCCAGTAGACTGGTATTTCGAGGTGAGTCCTCTTACTGAAATCTTGGTTTGATTATCCACCAGTGTGCGATTAGTCATGTCGACAGACAGGTTGAATCTAGCTAAAAAATCTGCCCCCAATATAGGCGTTGTTACACTGGCTATGGTAAAATTCCAGAAAAAATTCTGTCGCATGCCGAGATTGATATTGAGCGATTTTCTCCGTAAGTTGGTATTTTGGTACCGTTAGCTGCTTGAAGATGATAAGACTGTGGCATAGTCTCCTGATTTTGTGTTGGTGGTATCACGCTTATTTCAGCTCCGGTGTCTATTAAAAAGTTATATCCATTAATTTTGTCGCGGATATAAAACAGACGACCTTTTGTTAAAAATCCAGCAACAGCCGTCGTCTCTACTGGCTGGAATTTCCGTTTCCCGCATTCGCGTTGTTGAAAGAACAAGGATGTGTACAACGTCTCGCCTCAGGACCAAACCTTTTTTGTGGTAGTAACAAATTTCATCTTTTCGATTGCGGTTGTCAGTCCGGCCTCTGCTGAAACTTCGCTTTCTGTAGCCTGGACATTTATCGCGGCGGTACTGTCGGTCTTTTTTTGCAGTAAGCCTTGTAATTGTATAGACAACCTTTCTACAGTAGACTTGAGGTCGTTAAATTCCCTGTCTCTTTGTTGGGCTGGTTGTGGTTGGATAGAGTTTACCCTGCGGCTTCGAAAACTTTCATGGATCCGATCTGCAATGTCCGCGAGTTTTTCTGTCTGCGTTTCCTCCGTCATGGGTGCGAGGATTTGTGTTGTAGTGGGTAACTTGTCCAGCCATAAGCTCCGCATAATGTTCTCGGACATTTTGTTGTCACCCAGTAAGGTTCGCATGTGCCTCAATAACTGCGATGGGGTGCGGTCTTCTAATTCAACCTGAGTGAAAAGGTTGCGTAGCATGGCTTCGTTCGAGGCACCGGTCCGTTTTAAAATTGCTTCCTTGAGTCTATCGTACGGGTTGTCATCCGGGACATTTTCCAGTAAATCCATTACTTCCTCGACGATGTCTGCTGGCAGTTTTTCCACTAAGTAACAATACCGGGTTCGCATCAAATAATGCCTGGATTTGAACGAACCAGGACTTAGTGTTAGTCGTGTTGAAAGCCGGGATATTCAACGATAGTGTGGCGAGAGGGGTTTCCGAAGATTGTGATTCCATTGTGTCCTTCCTCTGCGTTTTGTTTGTTTTTTTAAATGTCGGTCACCAGTTTGTAGAGGGTGCAAAGAAGTCCCTCAAACAAATAATAAAAAGAAAATACACTACAAATAAAGTAAAATAAACTTTTGTTTATTTTTGTAAAGAATTATTTTTTTCCTTGTACAAAAATGAAATTGTCCGTAAAGCTGCGGAAGAAAAAGAGAAAGAAAGGAACTGGGAATGTGAGAGGGAAAGGTAGGACTATGTGTAGCGAGCGAGATGAGAGAAAGAGAGGGTGAAAGAATGTTCACTGATACGTGATACTGCCTGTTGTGTGAACCGCTAAAACCTCTCGGTGTGTGTGTGCTCGAAACTGTCCGTGTCGCTTTGATGTCAGCTTGTCGCTGTTCTCTCTCCCTTCTGATGAGAGTTTCTACCTTCCTTATATAAGAATGATGAGGCTCCGGGGAGATTAAGAAATGGGTTTCTTATGTCGAGTCCTGATTGGTCAATAAATCCTATTTTGACCACGTGGTGTGCTTTTCACTACGTCCGAACTTTTGGGTGCGCTGTCCTTGTTTTTTGACCCCACAGGGCATGGTAAGGAATGAATTCGCGCAATTGTATTTTTTGATACAGGTGGTGTGAATTAATTTTTTATTGTGTGTATGGGTGTGTGGAAAATAAAATAAGAAACAGCACAAGCCTTTCTTGAGCAACACACCGATTTTGGATTGTGATTAGCAATAATGGTTGAATATTATTTCATATATTGTATTAGTCTTTTCATGACTTTTGATTATAACTCTCATCTTAAATGTAATCAGCCCAAATACATAGAAAAATAAAAATCTGTTATTAATTATTTTTAAATTCTTACGCATTAAAGAAATGATTTTATCTAAAACAAATGCAAATGTCGTCCTGCAATAAGCACTTCGATTATTCGTCAAATACAAGATTTTTGACAAAATAGCAAATGTATGAAATAGTAAATTATATAAGTGAATGTAGATGAAATAGTAAATTATATAAGTAAATTATATAAGTGAATGTAGAAAATCAAATCAGAAGAGTTGAAAAAATAAAATTAACTGGCCAGGAATTAAAATTTATTGAGAAATTTGCACTCGACTTGTATTTGATCATGTATGCAAAGCACAAAGCAGAACTTGTCCTGGGGAAAAGAATAAGTAAAATTAATTGAAAATTTGGAATTCAAACGTATCACTCTATCCAAACCAGGAGATCAGATCAAGTTATCAGAAACTAAACAATCTGTCAGATAATGAATATAGTTGTTTTAGCAAACCACAATGTGAAACGAATTTGAATTTGGGCCTATTAGATAACTGGAAATATTCTGGAATATGAAGGTGATGATTGTATACGGAATTATTACAATGTCTTTGCAAAATGACTGTGAGATTTGAATATTTCAGAAAGAATTAAAACTATTTAAACAATAGTTTGAAAATCGTTGAAATTGGTATGAAAACTGTTATGAGAAGTTTGGTTGTCACTGGATCCTCAGTGGAAAATCTGATAGGAACATTCTATAATAATAATAATAATAATAATAATAATCATTATTATTATTATTGTTATTATTATTATTATTATTATTATTATTATTATTATTTTCATAAAAAAAATCTTGTTTCATAACAATAAAATAATATATAATTGTACGCATCAAAGTGTATTCTCGGCAATGAGCATCAATAACAGTGCAATAATGCGTCATTCGTGTGTCGCGAAGAATTCCAATTTCTATTTTGCTGTTTATCAGTGAGATAATAAACGAAAAGACGGGTTTACAAGAAAAATCGTTTATTTCCGCTAGGCAGCTAAAAATGGATTTTTTTATTTGGCAAAAAAACACTAGTTCAAACAAACGTTTGAGATAACATTTAATTTATAAGGGCACACAACAAAGACAGACGACACGAGCCGAGTTTAAAAAACAGACGATAACTTTATTATTAACACAGAACAATGAAAGAATTGCACAAATTAATTGTATTATGTGCCAAAAGATGGCCATTAACATGTATGTAAAAATAATCAATGCAAATGAAATATACCTTTTTTACAATAAAAATTACAATGCTGCAGAAAATCTGTCATCAGAAAAAGTAAATAACATAAAAATAAAATGAAGAAAGGAGAAAATACTTTTCTGAATAGTTTTCAAAGAATAGGTAATTTTTCGAAACAAAATTCGTGGTAACAGTGAACAATCCGACCAGCCGAAGAATTTTCTTTGATGTGGGAACGACTTTAATATTCCTTTCAATTATCGTCTGGTGGTCGTCAAATTTCTTCTGTGTTGTTTTTCTTCCTGGATCAGGGCGACGTGAGTTTATGCAGCAGCTGTTTCTCAACTCCTCGAATTCAATCCAAAGTCCCCTATTTATTCGTTCAGATAAGCTCCAAATTAACTTCTCGAAATTTGGAGGGAAACCTTTTGATTGGTTCCGAATGAAAAACAAACGATTATTTTCCAACAAATCGAAATGCAACAACAATATTTTTGAAATTCAAAAATTTAAGCAAGAGCCCAACGCAGCATGTTTTCTCTCAGAAAAGCAAGCGACACACGCTCAAGCAGCTTAAATTTCTTATAATTAAGAGGTTACCGAGTACAAAGACATACACCTGAATACCGGAGGATACAACGTTGTGAATATAACAAACCAAAATGGTTATGCTGATCCGAATCATTTAATGCTATGAATTGATTATAAAATTGATCGAATCGTATACTTTTTGGCTATTCTCTAAACTAGTAGATGATTTTCTAAAGCAGCTACAGTATAATCCTTTTTATCGTGATATACAGACAGATGAGAGAATCGTGTAAACAACTTAGATTTGAGCATACATATAAATGATGGAAGCACAAACCAAAATATGCCCGAAAAAAACAAAACAATAACATATCTTAGGATTGTACAATTGCGACTGATAACTTACGAATTTTGTCCGGTATTTGTATGTAGCATTGTCTGATGAAAGTTGGCTTATGATATATCAATGGTTTCATCAATATCAATATCTTGTTAAGTTTGTTTAATTCTTTTCACGAATCATTCAAAATATTATATATGATTACGTTTTATTTCATTTTGTGATTGTTGCGATGACAATGATGATAATTACACGTGACAATTATAATGATTACACATAACAATGTTTTACCGTTAGTTGAAGGCAAATGCGATGCAGCAAACGTTCAGTGAACTGGAATGAGGTGGGGTGTCTTCGAAACTCTCAGCACACAAGAATTTGTTTTTCAAGCTAAAACTCGAAAAAATAAAAATGTTTATTTCCTTCTTAAAGTACATTTGTCATGTCTTACTGGATACTATAAAATTCAACATCATCATCGAAATCCCGATACCAATAAATATTCAGTTGTTGAAAAGAAAATTCATATACTTCTGAATATAAATTAAAGTTTTTTCTGTTCATATATAATTATTTTTATGGATTTCTTTACAAATTATCAAATGCCAAATTCAGAAATGAAAATAATGAATTAATGAAGTGATTAGCTGCCGAAATACACGAAATAAGTCTTTTCTAAAATTATTAAATAGAATGTTGATTTTATATTAGAAGGTGGGCGGACATGTCATAGAAAAATTATTTATTTTCTGACAATCAATCTTCTCTTTTATAATGAGTAAACATTATGTGTAGAAGAAATATATTTGATTGAAGATGATTCAGAAAGATATTTTAAATGCGTGTGAAATCAAATTTTAAAATATCGATAACAAACCCCAAAAAACGGTATTCCTTAAAGTTTTAATTTTCAAGATAGCACTAAATGATATTAATTATGCATGTCCTAGTAATTGCTTGTATTCTTGTTTAGTATTAGTAAAAAAAGACGATTAGCTCACCCAGAATTCATGTTCTTAAATGTATTACATTTAAGAATATGAATTCCAGGTGAGCTAATCGTCTTTTTTGTCAAACATTCCTTCATTTATTTTGATTGAAATAACAGCCATTTTCGAATCTCACAGATGTATTTCTGATATGACAGCTTTTCAGTTATAACTTTGTTTACTGTTGAACTTTTAATTTGACAAGAATACTATATGCATATTGAAATTTCTGGGACACGTGAAGATGAAATTTCTGGGACAATTGATGAGAAAGGAGGGCCTGGAGAATTGGATACTCACGGGACGAATAGAGGGGAAAAGAGACACGGAAAAGCAGCACATGACATACGTGGCAGGCTTATGCAAGTGGATGGCGGGGCGTGGTCTGGGAGAGTTGACAGAAACACAAAACCTGTTGAGAGCCACAAGGGATAGGGGGAAATGTAGAGCCATGATCGCCTACGTCCTGAAAGGACACGGTACATAAAAAGAAGATTCCATATTGAAAATTTTACAAGTAATTAAATTTCGATAGAAAGAAATATTTATCCTGATCTGAATTTTTTCATTATTGAACATGAATTTGTGAGCATTAATTAATAATAAGATATCGTTGAGTTGATAACTCTTGTTCCCAGTTTGTCAAGCATGTTGCTAAAACTCCAAAGTGAGCATGTGATGCTAACATATTAGAGAAATCAATAAAAAGTGAGAAAACAAGATATCGGACTATTCATACACGCTAGTCGTCATCCCCATCAAAAATCAATCAACCTCTCTCTCTCTCTCTCTCTCTCTCTCTCTCTCTCTCTCTCTCACACACACACACACATTCTCTCTCTGTCTCTCTCTCGTCGTTCTTGTTGCATGGATGCTGCTGAAATTATCAAGCGAACGATCGTGTTCACCACACATTCTCAACTTCAACTCAACTTTTCCTGGAAGTTTCCTCCACATTAATTGTCAATCTCTAAACAGTTTTATGACTCTAAGTTAACCCTAGCAAGTTG